TTTTCTTCAGATTCAGCATCTGAAAATGAATTTATTCATGTATGTTTGAGTAGATTTCCTGATTCTTGTCTCTCCTAGTAAAATGCAATAGGTTCATGTATATACATGTTAACGCCTTTTCCTTCCAAATGTATAAACTCTTTTAGACTAAGAGCTTTTCTTGATATTCACATATCAATCGAACCATCATATGACAGAAAACAAGGATACATATCGCTTTCTCAAAATATTTTTGTTTCGATGAGAAGTCACTTTCACTGGACCAAACAATGATAACAACAAAACAATATTTTCTTTTGTTGCTTTTGAATTCGATCCGAGGTTTGGTTTTCACCTTCACATATGTGTAAAAAAGAACCTAGGGCTCAATGGTTATGCTTAGGGACCTATACAATATCCTGAGCAGACGAAATTCAGAAAAAGAGTTGTACAAGTTCTTCAACAAATGTGCATATCTTGGCCATGCAACTCTATTTTCAGTTCTTTGGGCTTGCATGTTTATCTTCTTCGGCACGTAGAACCAAATGTGAATGTAAATAAGTAACAGATCAGCATCCATATGCACACCGACATTCTTACTACATTCTATCATTACTTTCTCGAATAGTCAGTTCATTCGTCTCCATGAAAGCCAAAAAAACGAACATTCAACAATAAAAATGTGTACAAAACTTCGATTAATAATGCAAAATCATCCATGAAGCTATAGAATATCCATTGACAATTAGGTATGTGACAGTTGGAGTTTAGTTCTCAAAAATTTAACTGTTAGATCCATTCCTAATTATCAAAAGAAATGTATGTTCTAGCAATTCATTGCCAGAACACAGCTATGCAGCCTCTTATGGTTGTTGATAATCGAAAATGACCATAAGTACCTATTACGACTATGTTGATTCGTTCTAGAACACGGTGACTTCAAAGTTTTGAGAGCATTTTGAAGATTAAAAACAAGACCCTTGTCAGCTACTTTAACCACCAAGATAAAAATCGAAAATAATCATAAAATTTATGATTATTGATGCTTATATGCCATTGTTTTTCTATCAGTTTTATGAGGCTTGTATTTCACAATGTCGTAAATCTGAATACTTCACTATTTAGGATAAATTTATGATTATTCGCGACAAGACTATATAAATCCACAGTATGGTTTGCATGAAATAGGTAATGTTAAAGGATCAACAATTATTTTATACGATGAATATTGAGGTTAGTTGTATATATGGTGAAACGGTTTCAAATGCTGTATGTATATATCTGGAATTCGACTACTTGGATCAATTGAAAACCAAAACTTCCGTACAAAGTCGGTATCCATAAAATAATTTCTGATGTCAATTCTTTTGAGAAGAATACTGAAGTAGTTTTACAAAAGTTGATGTTGAATGTGGACTGCTAAGGTTTTTCTTTTCTTTGATTTTCAACATGATAATCCGTGACTATAGTGATATGAAACTCGGCAGCACTACAGTACTGCTCTCAGCAAACATTTTTAGTTCTATTAGGATGGAACATACAGAGTATTGAGATAGTTACTAGCAAATGAAAAAAACGAATATTTTCACTAAACCTTCACCAAATGAACAGTTCTCGCTTTGAAATATCAGAAATGTGTTTAATGTAGAAAGTAGTATTTCACAGTTGAATAAAAAAACAATATGACAGTTTTCTCAACCGATTTTTCCTGTTTGTAATGGAAGCTATCAAGGTATACTTGATAGCAAGATTTGTAATATGTTGTATTAAGTCGAGAACAAATAATAAACATATAGAGGATGCATCGCAAATACTACGTGTGCCGTTTATTTGCTGACTGAGAAGATAAATGGACGGTTTTTTCATAACTCGTGAAATGGTATTTTCTATATCCAAGAGAGTTTTGATACTTCAAAGCGATATTTTTCTAACCCTTCTTATGGCTGTGAATTTTGAATATTTCTCTATTAGTGTTACAAGATTTAGTCGATTTGGTGAAAACTGAACGCGGATATTCCTTCTTTTTTTTTTCATCACTAATAACTTGTGGACATCCTATAGATAGATAAATTCACGAAGAAAGAACCATTCCCTAGATAGAAAGACAAACAATATAGCTGAGACCCTTTAAAAATTTAATTTAGGTCATCCAGATAAAATCTTCGAATTTGAATAATAAATTTATATTGGCTTATTTACTTTGACAGATGATCAATGATGCTGAAATGAAATACTCTGTTATCTTTAATAATTTGAGCCGTATACACATTTTGAAAAGTCTTCTTCAACAAAGTTTGAATCCTGCTAAAGGTGATAAATAAAATACTTGCGATCTCTTTCGATACATTTTTCATAATTTGCTAGACGATGATGATTTGGATTAAAAGACGATAATATTCTATTTCGCTTTCTATTTTCCAAATCGACAATATCATTGTCTTCGTGCTAAAATAATAGCTAGAATCCAAGCACGATATTATTGTTAGCCATAATTGAATAAGGTAATGATTATTTCACAAATATTGACTAGTGTCAACTTCAGCCTTTATCTGTACTATTTTGGGTGTATATGTGACTAATTAGTATAGACAACCGTTGTGTCACTCTCATTCATATTGTGTAAGATAAATGAGATTTCGTTGATTATTGTTTTGATGAGTAAGATTGCTTTTTTTCTGACATGGAATCTGTCAAATAGCAAACAGTTTTCTCTGAATAATGGTTCAAAAAAAAAGTCTATCCTTTCGAATAGTTGTAAGTAGTAAAAAAAGGAGTCACCAAAAAAAGATGATAATATTAGAAAACTATTTGTGACTGAAAGTCTCAAAAAACCTATTTAATACATAGTAAAATTTTTATAATTCAACAATTATTAGCTATTGAAAATATAATAATACAAAAATAAGAAATGACTTTGATATCTACTTCCTGATCAGTGTTATGAATACTCAGTCGGACAGGGACTGATGCATATCTAGTTTGAAAAAGGAATTATCCATGTAATAGATAAACCGAACACTGTTAAACGAAAGAATAAATCATGAAAGATGCTATGTAAAATCTTATGGATGATTTTAAACTTAGATTTCGAGCCAAAACTAAATACTTTTTCTAAATTTTATCTCAGAAATTCTCTAAACAAATATTCATGTGATATACTTGATTAGTTACAAACTTCTTGCTATGATCACTAATGTATTAAATGCACCATTTTGTATTATTTTTCCGCAAACATAAGGACAATGATATCTGATTGATTTTTTTTTTCGTTTGTTTTTCACATATTTGAACAACACCTAGTTATACGATATATGTTTTCATGTCTTTCGTGCATTACATTATTGTTCATAACCCGTAATATGTTAAAAAACGAAAACAACATGGCAATATTACTATCGTACACTGTGACATACGGATGATTTATGGTTCACATTTCACCATCAAGTCATACACAATAGCTCGAACCCTTCTTGAGGCATCACTTTGTAATGTCACATCATTCCAGAGAAAGAATGGGATACGTTACATTCATAATTGTTTCAATTATAAATAGTATTGACAACACTCATAAATTAATTATCCTGAAATCCATTGTAGATATTAAACTTATCCATTGTTTTATCTTGGGGATCGTCGATTTATATTCAAAGCACAAAACAATAACATGAAGTTAATTATATCAGGAACGTTCTTTCTGATGCTGAATATGGCACTAATAGTTGTAGTTGCTAATGCATCTACTGATATCGATGGTGCTGTTAGTACGTATTGTTTGAGAATATGTCATGTAACATAGTATACATTTTTGTATCACATTTTGCAGAGATTCTACAGAAACTTGCTGACTTTACGGTTGATAAAGAAGAGCAACCATCGAAAATTGATTTGGCTGCTGGAGCTATGAATGATTACACGCTTGTTCCGAATACTTACCTGGTAGAATTCGACCAACGTGCGCGTATCAGAAACTTCCAACAGGTGATTACTGAGTCTCTGGAGAGATCTCGTGGAATTCCACGATCGGCTATTACCATGCGACAAACTATTTCTACATCATTGTTCTCTGGAGCTTCGTTTTCGGTGAATGTCGACCATTCGATCAAAGCAATTGAATCTATCCCGAGCGTTATTTCTGTTTATCCAGTTTATTCTGTTCTCGGTCCAAAACCTGTCATCAACTATATGTCATCTGGTGAAAAGAATGACAATCATGCAGATCCCGTCATTGCACACGATTGGACAGGTGTCACACAGATTCACGATCAAATGAAAAACTTTGGAAAAGGTGTTCGGGTAAGCAATTTAGAGATAAATCAAGTTTTATTCTCAATTGCAAGAAGAAAACAAGACAATAAGAAGTAAAAGCATAGAGTTTATTAAAAAATAATGAAAAGTAAAGTTATGCTATAACCACCGAAATACTTGATATCTTGTGCTTCTTGAAGTAGACAAAGCATGTTTATTTTTCAAAAGATTCTATGCTATGCTCTTGCTAGACAGAAAGTTTAGAAAAACAATTTAACAGTATTCAAGATATGTAGTTAAGATGATCTTTGTTTTTGAACTGATAAACATTTGGAAAAGTTTAGATAGATATTTCTAAATGCCAGCCAAAGTCAGAGAAGAATTAAGGCATAATTCTTAAATTGAAACTGATTTTCTAAAAAAGCACGTGACTTATGTTAGTTTTAATTCCAGTTATCAATACAGTAGAGTAAATTGTATTCAATCAGTTTTAAATAAATTATCAGTGAAATTCTAAAAACTCAACATGTCCACTATAAAAATTGCAGCTGCAATGATCATATGTGTTATAATTGATCGAGATTTTTTCTTGATGCAACAAATTTGTTTATGATATTTTTTTTTTGTACTATGTAGGTTGCTGTGATTGATACTGGTATTGACTATATGCATCCTGCCTTGGGAGGCTGCTTTGGACCTCAGTGCAAGGTTGCGTTTGGCTATGGTAAAAAGAGATTTCTGATCTTAATACAATAAAAAGATAGATAATGATTGCAATGTTTCTAGATTTTGTTGGAGATCAATATAGTGCATACAACCCGTTCCCGGTGCCTGACGATGATCCACTCGATGAGTGTACTTCCGGATCTCATGGTATTTATCCATATTAAATTCATCATCTAGAGTTATCCTATAATGGCTTTTATGTTTATTTTAGGTACTCATGTTGCTGGAATCATTGCTGCTAATGCCACAGGAATGTCCCAAACAGGTTTCATTCCAATCGCACCCTTCTTCGGTGTCGCTCCTCAGGCAACTCTTGGTGCATGTTAGTTGATCTGCTTTCGATCATTAGTAATTTATTTCAGTTCTGCTTTTTTCATGTTCTAGATCGTATCTTTGGATGCGCTGGAGATACAACTGGCTCAGGTACATATAAGCATGAACAAAAATATTTTGCTAAAAGTGTTCTTTGTCTTTACAATATTTCTTCTCAACATATTTCTAGATGTCATGACTGCGGCAATCTTTCGCGCTTTCGACGATAAAGCCGATATAAGTAAGTCATTGTTACTGATAGTTTCTCAATAAGAAGTAATTCGATTCAGAGGGAGTACTTTTTATTTGGGAAAACTGTTTTTTTTGTAATTTTCTAATTTTCTAATTCTCGAATTATGTTTCGTAATGGATCATCATATATTAGTCTCATCCGAAAATGAATACAATTATTTTTACTATCTAGGATATAGCCGATAAAAGAACAAGTTTTAGCTCTTTTGCTTGTTTGTTTTCAAATAATATTTACATCTTTTGAAAGATTTTCATGAAGATGTAAAGTTGTTTCGAAAAGTGTAGAAAAACTCGAAATTTCTGCTTATTAAGAGTGAGATTTCCAATCTAAATACATTATCTTTTTCTCTACTCACCGAGCTCATTTTCTTAATCTGTGTAAGAATTCACTAATCGATAATGGATAGACTGGTGTCAATTCGATCCCAACGATTCTTAAGATCAGACTCGAACTATTACAAACCTAATGATGAATATGAATGATATTTTTTAGACGTGAAAAGTAATAATAAGATAGTCTAGTAGTTAACTAACTCAATGGTACCAATCACTAGATTAGTTAGTTGTTGAATGTTTCATCTGCAATTACAATTTGTCTTAATGATGTCACTTAATGCGCTTTTACTATATTTAGTCACGATGTCCGTTGGAGGTGCTGGTGCATACACGGAAACATCAGATGCAATGGCTGCTCGACTTGTATCCGAGAGAGGAGGTAACAACTTTTACTTCGATTCAGAAATGTTTTGATATTTTCAAATTTTCTATTAGTCTATATCACATTTTCGCAAGGAAATGACGGAGGTCAAGGTCTTCAAACAAGTGGAAATCCAGCCATATCGTCTGGTGCAATGGCAATAGCTTCAATAGACAACTCACATACACCACAGTCCTACTTAAGCACACCTGATGGTGAAAAAATTTTCTATTCAGCCGGAGCTAATTCTGGTGGATGGCATTCCACTGTGAATTCGATCATCGTTGTCAACGGTATATTTTCAGTTCACTCACTATAGATAATCGTTTTTGTTTTCAAAATAATGACTAGATCCTCAAGCTACAGCGAATGATGGATGCAACGGTCCGACCAAGTCGGTTGCAGGTGCTGTTGTTTTGTATGCGTATAACATTGGAGATTTGTGTAACTCAGCTGTTCGATGTAACAAAGCAGCAGCAGCCGGTGCAACCGGTTGTCTTCTGTACAATGTTGGAGCCATCTCAGGTTTTATTTTCTTTATTTGATTTTCTTTTCAACTTGAACTTCTCCTTCAGGATCATCTGCTATTCCAAGTGGAAGCATCAGTTTGACAAATGGTCAACACATTATTGCAATAACGACAGAAAATCTCTCAGCAATGTTTACATTTACCAATAAGGTTGCACTTGCTCCCGTTGTAAGTAAACATGGACTTACTATTGAAGCAGTATATCAGAAAAAAAGTCAGATCTAAGATTGGTGTCTCAATCTCATTAATATGAAATAAACAATATCTCGTAGAACACAGTCAACTATATTTGCAACACCAAATCTCATTGTTGACAATATGGAAAGTGAATCGACTCGAACGACTGTGAAAAATAGATCAAAACATTTTTCAGAGTTTTGCTAAAAATGCTAGACATCATTTATAGACCACTCAAAATCAACAGAGTTTTGATCAATCTACTTTTTCTTTCTTGATTTTATTCTACATTGTGAGCTTACCATAAAGTATTTTCTATATTTTTCAGAAGTTTTTCAAAATATTAGTCGTATTTAAGAGATTGAATGAGGTGACTTTTATCAAATCAACTAATGAAAAACAAATTAACTCACTTGCTCTAAACCCAGCTTCAAAATAATAAGTCAAAGTTTGCTACCTTAAAACAGACAAATTTATAAACGAACATAGCCAATATGAGGAAAATAGACATGAATAATTGTCATGTTGCGATCCTTTTGAGAATTGAACTTTAAAGTTTCTTCTCTTCTTCTCATTTATCTTAAGTCGACGGCCGGAACACCTTCTCAGTTCTCATCACTTGGTCTCACAGGTGATCTGTTATTCAAACCCCAAATTAGTGGTATTGGTGGTTATGTTTATTCAACCATTTCATCTTTCGCTGCTACAACTCAAAAATTGTCCACCACATATGCTTCCTACTCGGGTACAAGTATGGCTTGTCCTTATGTTGCTGGGTATGTATAAATTTGCTTTTATCCCATTGACGCCAAGCTTTGTTTCGACTAGATTATTATTTCAGACCTATACTATGATGATTGATCGATCTATTTAGAGAGTTGAATTGCATTTTTATAGGATTGTAAGGTAAAAAATCTCCTGAATTCAAATGAGGACATATTCTTAATTAACCAAAAGTAGATGAAAAGCAGACAAGGTCATTCAATCACAGAGATAGTTACCATATCTAATCAATGAGTATTGTTGGAAATGAGTGTAACTCATACGAGATCGTTTACATGATATAAGATCAACAGTAAAAGGGTTTCTAAGTGATCTTTATTAATTTTCAAAGATTTTAAAAAAAACGACTTTGAATAATTTGAAGAGGTTTTATGGTTCTTAATCAACTTTCCCTTAATTACTCCGAATATGTTGATCTCATTCATTATGGTTGTCCAGTTTAAATTTGCTCGATTCTGCTTAATTACCTGCCGTTTTTAATGATTTTCGATACTAAAAGTGATCACAAGTGTTAAAAATCATGAAATTCATCTAAAATAAATTCAAATCATTTAATATCATGAAAAGAAAACCAATTACTAAAACTATTTGAATTCGCGACAATCAGAATTATGTGTTTTGCTCTTGAAATCCAGAAGGCTCCGCAATTATTCTAAAATTGTGATGAACTCGTCAATATTCAAACACCAAACTAATAGTTCCTGCGAAAAATCTTCGAAATTGCATCTGAAAGAGGTTTTAAATTAGAATTTTTACAAACATCTTTCAATCTTGATCGCTATGACACCACTCTACAGATGATCGATGCTCGAATTTGCGGAGAGTAGAGAAAAATAAATGAGATACAAGTGACTTTTGAAAACAATTGTAACCAAATTAAGATACTATTGCTGTTAATATTCTAGTATTCATTAGCTGACATCAAATGATATCACAGACAAACGCGGTTATCGAGCATTATCACTAGTTCGTTAGAAGTATTTCAAACAACATATAGAGATAAATTAAGCTTGTTTACATTATGACTCATAGAAGAAGGATATGATTGGGAAAAAATGTACATTTTTCTAGGCCAATCGATTGCGAATCTATTCTCATTTAATACTAACTCAAAAGTCTTATATGAATCACAAAGTCTATGGTATTTTGTTGAGAAAATTCACTAGATTTCATCGAATATAAAAGATAATAAACTCAGGAAAAGAATGATGTTCTGTTTCGAGTTTTGCCTAGAAAAAATGTTATAAAGAAACGTTCCTTGCTCTATCACATTCAATAGAGACACCTAATAATTCTAAAATCCACTCAATTCTGTTCTTTGAAGAACTCTGGCATTGTTTCTTGCAAACATTGGCAATCCTGCTCCCGAAACAGTTGGCAGTAGTTTAGAAAGTACAAAACGTCGACCTTCATTCTCAGAAGTCGTCAATTTATTTCAATCGAATGCCAATCCAGTCAAAATATACAACACAGCAATGCTCGCTCCAACTATTCAACAAGGTGCCGGGTTAGTCAACGCTTTTCAAGCTTTAACAGCTACCACGATCATTTCACCAAGTGAACTAGCATTGAATGATACGGTTAGAAGAAAGAATTTCTACAACATTAAAATATCCAATATCGGTAATAAACCTGCCCTGTATAAGATAAGTCATCATGGAGCTGCATTGACTACTGGAGCACAAGAAGGAAACGATCAACTTTTATCCCAACCAGTATACTCTGCTGATTACGCTGTGAGTATCATTTGATAACTTCATGCTAGATCAATAGACCTTATTGTTAACTAAGACTATTAAAATCTCATCTGTCAGAAATAGTAGGGCTGCATGCAAGCATGAAATTCGGAAAAATCCGATAAAACAGACAATTGTTTGATTGAACTTTAAATACTTTACTACAATAATAGAAGAATCGACGTTAAATTATTTTATATTCGAATTATACAGAAAAATGTTTCTAAAATCATTCTTACTCTACTACATTATATTATGCGATTGATACAATGAAGTAGATAGATGAGTACTTACATATTAAGGGCACTATTGTCAACGAATTGAAACCCAACTTTCTGAAATACTAAATAAGCAACACAAATTTTTAAAGAAAAGTGGCAAAATCTACTACAAATTAAAGTAGAAGTTACGGAGAATACTATTTCAATGAAAAAATGACACCACAAAATTCACAAAGAGGAGTTTTTGTATTTTTTTAGCATCCTGACATGTCAAGAAAGATTTATTATATTTATTTTCACTTGACTAATACCTTTTCTTCTCAGACAAACATAAGGAATGACTTTCAAATATTGAGCTTCTAGTGAGACTGCGCAAATCTTTTGCTATTCTTTTGTTTTTTTTGATAACATTTGCTCAAGATGTCGATAATAAAGATTTTACAAGAGAGCAAACGGCGTTTTTCACTGGAGAAATTATGCTTTATCTTGTATTATTAAAAGGATGTTTATATTTGGCCAACGAATTTCAAACTTGAACCTGGACAATCACGTATGATCACTGTTCGATTTCAAGCGCCTCGTAAAGCTGAAGCAGCTCTTCTTCCCATTTTCTCTGGTTTCATTTATGTCTCAAATAATGTAGATGAAAAAGTTGCTCATATTCCATGTAAGCAAATATTTATCTCAGCCTTCTCAAATTAATCTTTTTATGAAATGATCCATATGTCTTTAGATGCTGGTGTTGTGGGCAATTACAAGGATGCTTCCATTTTGGTTCGCAATACTCCATCAGGTATCGTTACAGGCCTATTAAGTGCAACTGGTGACTTTGTTTCGAACGGACAAACCATGAATGTGACTGCCTCCGGTGCATTTCCAATCTTACTAGTCACAGCATGGACATCACGTATTGTTTTCATGGATGTTATTTCGGGAAAAGGCAATGTTCTACATGGCTTTAATCCAAGGTAAAAGATAATTTCATCCAAGATCATTGAATAGTATGATGAGCAGTTAAAGTCAAGGATTCTAGCTTCTTTCTCACTTCATATTTTATAATTTTTGAAAATTATAATTTAGTAATTTTTAATGATCTTAAATGATTATGACAAATATTGTGAAAATTTTCGTACAAAATATTTTTTATTCTATGATAGATGTTCGAATTCATTCTTCGATTTCTACCCTATGATAGAAGAGCCTATTTCTCAATGTCTTTTATACATAATTTATTTGGATTATTCTTCTAATAGAAACTAGTTATTGCCTCCTTTCTTGTAGAAAAATATGTGATTGTAAGAAACTCTTACAATTTACAAACAAAAATCTTTTACTTGAAGACAACAGAAATTTTCAAACGAGAAAATCTAGAAATTCTCTATTTTTGCATTTGAAAATTAAAACTATGTAAGTTTTAGGGTTCATTATTAGTAAAAGCATAATTGTCTGTAATGGTATAGGTCAAGTTTCATTCAAACATACATTTCCATTCCGAAATACTCTTACTTCATATTACCTTAATATAATCAAGTAACGACACGTATGTCATTGTCTAAGAAACAAATTTTCAAGCTCTTTTGTCTTAAGCAGGTTTTTGTTGAAGGATCGTCTTATCCAAATTGTCAAACTGTAAGTAGATATTTCATAATACCAAAACTATGAGTGTACAATATTGGTGTAGAAAAAAGTCTTTTTTTTTTTAAAGTTTCATCATGTTTTGGTTATTTACTTTTCCACAATTTCATATGCGACAAGTCTTTTTCAATTTATACTTTCGATATTTTGTTGTTCGACATTGCTATCTATCGAAGTCTTCACTGTCCACACAGGACAAGTTTACCTCAAGTGTTAATCGTAAGATTTAGATTTTCCTTTATGAAAGTCAAAAATTTGACTTGCATGTCAATATATAGAAACAAATTCATTTTAAGTCATAGAGTTGAAAAAGAACGTTTAACAGCCATCTGATAATAAGTCGAACTACTAGGGAAAATCTTTTCAAACGTTGCTCTTTGGGAATTCCTGTATGATGAAGGCTCTCAGAGATTTCATAAAGAACATCAAATAGCATATCACTTTATGCAGAATTTATCTGGCTACAAGAGAATCTGCTGTTTATTTGTAACGAATTCGCTGAGACTCACATTAGTTCTTTCCTACGTTGATGAGTTCGGATGCTTGACAACGACATTGATTCGTAGGAAACGATCAAAATCTATCTTCGTTAGTTAGAAAATCAGTGATGAATTTTAAAAAAATAGTCTTTATTTTAACCGATTGAATATACGATCTGTATATATATATGAGCTAAGGTTCACACTCAATTTATGAACTTTAATGATTTTCTATATTGATTAGATCATAAAAGTGTTCTCACTGTTTTCATATTACCAATATCATATCGTTATCATATGTCACTCGAAGTCATTTTCTATCTTTGAAGTGACCAGTAGCAAAAGTATGACAAAGTCTGTGCCGATCTTAATTATATCTCTCGATATGACAGAGGCGTACTAATATCCATCATCAATGTAACATTTGTAAGATTGAACTTTGTGTATCAGATTGTATTAAAAACATCATGCTCAACAATATTTCTGAAAGTTTATGTAGACCAATAAAATCTATTTCAAAATTTGTAATAGAGTTAATTTATGATTATTGTTACCGCCAAAAAGTTCTTGAACATAATGTTTGACAAACGATATATTTTTCTGCCAAAAATAGAACATTTAAACACAAACACTATTACTATGGTTAGAATTTCACTTAAATCTCCTATCATAACAAATCTAGGAGAACAAATGTATGGAAACGAAAATTGTAGAAGATAGTTCGAAGCATTCGAATAAGAACTATTACTTCTAACCGTTAAAAGACAATAATGAAAAATATCGAAAATGCGACATTTGTAATTTTTGAATCTTCGTATTTTCGATTCAAGAATTCTGATTTATCTCATAAATAGAACTTGGCACGCTCTACAATAAAGGAAAGGTAATAGAATTTAGGTCATGCATAAAATTAAATCTCTTCAGATGTCGCTTACTAGAAATTTCATTGCCGACAAACAATTCACAGAAGAGTTATTGCCAATTCGTTTCGAATAATCTTGATTTTTACTTTGGGCAAGTTGTTGCACGTTAAGAAATACTATAATCTGATTGTGAGTTCACTGTAGATTAGTTAAGAGTTCACAAGCCAAAAATTCCACAAAAAATCAGTACTCACACTAAGAGAAACAAAACAACAGTATGATTTGACCAGAATATTTTTATTAAATTTCTTAGGTATTTTCAGTAATAAAGAGTAAGCAAACAAGTTCATCAGAAACTGATGTACTAGCTCTTCATATCTTTGTTCTTTGTAGCTTTTGTTTGACTAAAATCTTCTGTCACTTCTTTTCATGTTAATTAACAATTCGAAGCTGAAAAACGTTGATAAGCGACAATATGATATCTATTCATGATATTTATTGGTTTCCTCAAATTGATGACTTCGTTATTAATAAGTATAGATCCAATCTTGAGCAAGAATTCTTCTGTTAGTACTTCGTTTCTTAATATGAAGGGAGCTGACTAATATCATACTTAATCTAGCACTTTTCTCATGGAATTTCCCAAAATTAAATGATTATGACTGAGTAATATTGTCTCATGAATGTTATTCTCTTTACTTCACAGCTACGGTTTGGTGTACGATGGTCGTGGAACAGGTCCACTATACTTCAATAATATACCGAGAAATATTGCTTCAACAGGTCAATCGTACAGACAATACTATGCTTTTCCTTGGACTGGCTTGGTCACTACAGTTATTTCAACCAATTCCGATGATTTTCTTTACACGAGTAAACTTCCTGCTGGTCAATACAAACTTCGATTTTGGGCTCTCAAACATTTTGGAGATAACACTAATGACGATGACTTCGATGTTTACCATACAGCAGCATTCAATTTAGTGTATTAGTCTAAAACTACACTGACATTTATCCTTTCTTCTTATATGCTTCTATTTTTTCTAAAGCGTCAATCTTCCTGACGTTAGTCCATAAAAAGCTAACTCTTTCAGTACTTTATCAATATCCTGTCATCAGTAGCTCCTGTATAACTCGAATATTTTACATCGAACATTTGCTTTCTCTAAATTTTCATTTATATGAAACACATTCACGCTTAAATAAAAGGAAATTATTAGCACAATCTCTCTGATCTCATAAGCCTTGCACAGACTTTAGTCACTGTGAAGTCGTATTGAAATTATATAATAAATTCTGAAGTATCCAACAAATTCTTTACGAACAGAGAGTAAGATCTATCAAAAGTGCACGTCTGAATAATCACTAACAAGCTTTAAGAAACGTACATGCAGAGACGACGTACTAAGACAGAAGTCTGACATCGATAATAAAACTTATTTGTGAAGCTATTGGGAATACTCTCTTGAACCCATTATATATCTGACCAATCAATCCATCAGTCTAAACATAGTATCATTTCTTTTTCTTCCAATGTTCAAGTGGTAGAAAACGATATCTGTGTTTTTATGATAATAAAATGATTCAGATATACTTCCAAGCAATTCAATAATAAGCGGATCATTTGAAAATGGCGAAGATATTGTCAAGGAAAGACAAGGATGAAATATCATCGATGATAAAAATCAGACCAAATATCTCAACCTCGCCGGAATTCTGTATACTTCGTCAAGACTTTAATAATCTGTACGAGACATATGCTTGAGAAACTTCGATTTAAAATATTTCAAAATTTGATACAAAGTCTGATGATTTCATTGAACCTCAAACATTCTATGTGACTTTTTATGGTGCTTCATTGAAACAACTGAATGTAAAGGGGTGTTAAAACTGTGACATCGTGTGAGATCTTTGAACTACTGCCAGTGTACATTTACCACATGAAACGTATAGAAAATCTTGGTGGTGCAATGGGAAAATTGGCGCAAGCGGGAGGAGACAATGACCAACCACAAATAGGCAAATTGGTAGTAGAAGAGAATGGGGACCCAAAATTCTCGAAACCACTCTGACTTTCTTTGTGGACGTCGTCTAAATCTGCGATAACAACCTAATTGCATATGATGTTCCAAGTGTGTGCAATTACCAACGATCAACTCAAATGGCGCATGTCAACAGGGCTTCGACCCATGTTAAACAACCATACACTTCATTGACTTTCGGACGCATGCTCTTGCTCAGAACATTTATCAAAAACCTTTGCACATAAACTGTTGTTAGTGGCTTGTTCATCGTACCCGAACTTTCTCTGCGAATTCGATTGTCTTCCAAAAACCACTGAAGCATATTTTGTTGGATCATAATTTAAATCCTTCTTCAGGCTGATAGCATAGATTCTGGCAATGTTGTTACTTCGATTACTGATATTTATGTATCAAATTTAAAACGTTAATGGGTTGATCTATCTCATACAACACATGATAATTTTGCTATGCCAAACCTTATTCGTTGGACGAGGTCAAGTCTAGCACATATCCAGTTGAGATCTGGGTGTGGATGAAGAGAAAACAACATTCATATTCGCACCCATGCCTTTTATTATCACGAGGAGGTTCTCGCATTAATAAACGACAGTCGACTCGCAACATGAAAATGAAATCTACACTGTCAAGAGATCGTTAGTTATTTAGTTTGATTTCAAATGAGAGTACAAAAGTGAATAAAATTGTTGATTTAGTTGAGAATTGTTTTGCTGAGGAATTCGTTTTGCTTCTTTGAGATAAATGAAGTTAGAGTTCTGATATTGTTATGATTTGTTTTGGTTTTATCAATATGCCAATGATGAAGATGCGCTTAATGCACCAGGTATGCAACTCAAATATGATGCTCCTTTTAAAACCCATGAATTAGAGTATTGCGTGGTTAGAAGAATTGGATGGCTTTCCTATTGCTGCTATGATCATTACGTTGAAGCGAATGGATGGAGAAAATTTCGTGATAGAAACTATCAATGGAGGGAAGATCCAATTCGGTTATGTCAAGTAATTTTAAAAAAAATAAAGTATGAACTTATTGATTTCTTTCATTATATCAAAGCAATCTACACACTTAAA